ACAGGAAGTGGTTGGAATGTGAGGGAACCTACAGTCAATGGAGAAAACATTTGTGTGATTTTCTTCTGAATTTCAAATGTGGATCAAACTACTTTTGATTGCAGTTTGATTTAGCTTCGTCTTGTCTAAGCCGCACAGGGTGCATTCACCCGGAGCGTCATTGATCACAGTTAAGAATGAATCAGTGGCGCCCTCGCGTGGACAGTCTGCGTATTGTGAATGTGTAATGGCACATCAAGTGGTCAATCTGCAGCGGAGGAATCAGAGAAGGTAGAATGGATCTTGGCTCCCCCAAGTTGTCAAACTGTGGTAGCAGCAGAATGTTATTATTAAAGAAATCAGTATATAGATTATAATGTAGTAGACCTCTATCCGCCAAATATACTAATTACGGAGCACACTAGCCAGAGGAATGCTGTTATTCCTCACTGGATTCTCAATGTGTTTGTAAATCATGTACCACTGTTTACTGCAAGTACATGTTAGTTTGTGTATCACAATGACTTCTTTCATGATTATTGTCACACATGCACCACAATACATAAGTTCTGAAAACAGAAATCTGCACATTGGTCCAGCAGCTGCTAGACGTGTCCCTTCATACATAAAGATCTTTAAGACTTTCTTTGTGTTTACAGGAGAGAGCGTCAACAGAGTCCCCACCACCGGAAAATATGCACACAAGATTCCCACGTGTGTGGAATATGAAGGAGTCCACAGGAGGAGTCTAGAACACGCCTCACCTCCTTTCAAAGTAGATGTTGCAGACACTGTTGTCACCATCTGGATTGATTCCATGTGTGTAAAATTGTCCATTTCAGATTGTAATTAGCTATTTATTGTGATACCTGTTGAAGCTATAATAGAATGGTGCTATAAATAGAGAATCTCAAGTATATTTGTGTCATTTATTCAGGTTACTGTTCTTTTCAATGAAATACATCTTATTTAAAATCAAAGTGATACATGTGAGAGAATGCTGTTTGTTTACTTTTGTCACATCTGTCTTTTTAAATTCCCTTATGACACCTGGGAGGCTAATTAGAAGTAGTTTTATATTTTCTGAGTCTGTTTAATGTTTCTATTGCAAAATGATCTGATATCATTGTAATATAGGCATGTGCTCTGACATGTAAGTAATCTGGAACTCTATATATCCGTGTCCCTGTTGTTGATGACAACAAACACACCCCTGTTGTTGCATTCATTAATTGATATTCCACAACTCGATGTTACTGTAACACTTAACACTTTATTGAATACAGTGCATGAAATGGAGAACAATCAGAAAAAACAGTGCAGTCATGAAAAAGAAGACTACAATATGTACATGAAGATCGAAACTATTTACAATGTACACAAAACCACACTACAATGAGATGCAATTCTTTACAGATAAATTATCTTATCACCTGATTGAATAAATTGCTGATAACACCACATCACTACAGTTAAGTTACTTACAATGCAACTGTCCCATAATTACAGATATATACAGGGTGTCTACAGCTCAACGCTCCACCTTGTCCACAACAGAAGTAAAGTGTTCGTAGCTGTCGTACACTGTGTGGTCCAGACCCTTTGATGTGGACATTGTCCTCTGTCAGCCTAACCTCCACCAGAGCAGAGCAGAACTTTTCCAACTTCTGGAAGACAAGAAGATGGTTTGGTCTGCAGGCATCCTCCTGTTGAAAAGTTGCCATAGAAAGGCAGTATGTTCAAATGTGCCCATTGTCCACCAATCAATGCATTGCATTTAATTCTACCAGATGCACAGTTACTCACAAAGGCCGGAGCGTAATGTGGGGCACGATGGCATCCAACACATCCACACGTGCCTCCCCGTCACTCTGGTATGTCTTGTCGGCCTCTGGATCTGGATCGGGCTGCTCATGCTGACCCACCTCCTCTGGACCAGGTCCATCGTTGACCAGGTCCTCAAGAGAGAAGGGTCCAGATTCACCCGTGCTCTGGCTCAACAGCTATTCCAACCCGAGCAGCTCGTTGGAAGGAATATTGGCAGGGGCCCGGAAATTCTCCTCCACAGTCTCTCCGAACAGCTGCTGACGGCGGGTGTGGATCAGCGGTGCAGAGTAGGTCCTGTGGTGCCGTCCTTTGCCACCAAACACGGCATCTGAGCTCGTGTCTGATTTCCACCGAGCAATGCCACTGATCAGGTAAACCTGATAGGGTCGTGCTCCACAATGGGGACCTGAGTCGAGTAGAACAGAGCAAAGTTAAGCTTTAATGTCCCTGAGGGGCAATTTGTCTTGCAGACTACACATGAACATAAGTACACAGGTAGTACACATCACCTCTATGAAAGGATGAAGTCTTCCTTTATGTTTCATTAGTTAATTAGTGCCTTGTGCGTTCTCTCTTTCAGTGGTCAGGTTGTTTGTTGAACATCACAATGGAAGGTATTAGAATATGACAAAGTCACATGATATGTTTGTTACAAGTATACAGGCAGCACTTGGAATCACCTGGAATCATGTGTGGCAGAGATTTATGGAATCCCTCCAGGCTGTTGCTTCCACACAGACATTTGTAGTCGGGCACATCCACAGTGTTGATGGTTGTGGTCCGTGCCACCCTATACATGCTCATGTCTGGTGGATCCTGGATGCACTCCAGGTGTCGCTGCTGGCCTGCCCACATCTCTGTAAATACACATGCATACAGTGTGTTGTGTTCACTTTGTACGCTACACTATCTGTATTAATGTTGTAATAGCTATTTTCTATGAGGTCTTTTGTACCAGGTGTTTTGAAGAGGCTCACTCCGCTCTCATCCCGCCCAGCGGGACCTTTCAGCTCCTCAATGGTCAGGTGGATGAGCCGAAATGTCTCCTGAGCCCCGAGTGTGACCCTCCTCACCTGGTGCTTGAGCTGCTCCCTGGATACGTAGCAGCAAACAACATCCTCATCTGAGACCGACTTCAGAGTTGCCGGGTCCTTGGCTCTGAAGGCTTTGATGAGCAGCTCCGGGTCTGAGCGGTTGTAGGCCAGCACTGCACCGGCTACAGCAGACTTGAACACAGCGTACTTACAGTGAGACTCTGCACATGGCTGCGTCAAACCGGTGGATCCAGTGGAAGATATCCAGATGCACAACCATCACATTGTCCACCCATGGCTGGAACAAAGTCTCCACTGCTGTTGGGCCCTGAGACCGGCAACACCCACGGTCCACATAGAGGATCTTAGGGACGAGTTGATCGGCCTCGAACCTCTCCATGACTCCACGGCACATCGGTTCCAGCTTCTCCAGACTGCTCCCAGGTCAGCACAAATGAAACTATTTGTGAGTGCTCGTTCCTGATGCTGGTAAACCACTCGAGCCTCGACCTTCCCCAGACAGCTTCTTCACCACCTAAAAACATATGTTGAGTTTGCATAATGTGATTAACTGTTAGATTCTATTGATATTGTGATTTTTCTGAATGATTTCACGTCATACAGTACGGCATTATGGCATGTGTTTTGATTGATACTTTCTTGGTGGAATCCATTTTCAGCACGGTGTCTAGTGGAGAGGATCTGGCTCTAGTAATCCTGCACATTGTTGGCCTCTGGCAGCAGGAAGTGGAGGAAGTGGAGGGAAGCTCTGTGGAGGAGGCGGAGCCTGGAACAAGTGTCCTGATGCGGAGACGATCCCTCCCGGTTCCACATCAGTCATGAGGAGCGTGGTGTACAGGTCCTTACGTTGAAGGTACTCCTCGACATTACTCCTGTATCTGCCTCCACACCTTGACCATAGTGTTCCCTTCGGTCCGGTCCCTCAGGAGGCGCACAACATTCCTATCCACACCACTCCTGTGAGTAGATTCACAATCAATATGGTGAGGTTGATAGAAGACGTTCAAGTTAGTCTGTTACATGCACATGATGTTCAGCATGCTCACCTGCTGGTGAGGATGTCGGGGGAACAGAGCTTGATGAGCTGCTGAGTTGTGTTATAACCGGTTCACTGTGACACCTCCTCCACTCCTGACTGCCTTTGTGCCGGCTCCACAGCACAGGACCTCAGTGATCACTGTGTACCAGCTGGACACATCACAGAAGTACATAAAGTACATGTTATATTACTATTATATATTGTGTATATGTATATATGCATGTACACTCACCGGACACTTTATTAGGTACACCTTGCTAGTTGGGTTGGGTTGGACCTCTTTTGCCTTCAGAACTGTCTTAATTCTTCGTAGCATAGATTCAACAAGGTGCTGGAAACATTCCTCACACATTTTGGTCCATATTGACATGATAGCATCACGCAGTTGCTGCAGATTTGTCGGATGCACATCCATGATGGAAATCTCCCGTTCCACCACATCCCAAAGGTGCTCTGTTGGATTGAGATGTGGTGACTGTGGAGGCCATTGGAGTACAGTGAACTCATCGTCATGTTCAAGAAACCAGTTTGAGATGATTTGAGCTTTGTGACATGCTGCATTCTCCTGCTGGAAGTAGCCATCAGGAGATGGGTCCACTGTGGTCATAAAGGGATGGACACGGCGTTTAAACGATGCTCAAGAAAATATCCCCCCCACCACCAGCCTGAACCGTTGATACAACGTTGATGCAGGATGGATCCATGCTTTCATGTTGTTTACGACACATTCTGACCCTACCATCTGAATGTTGCAGCTGAAATCGAGACTCATCAGACCAGGCAACGCTTTTCAGATCTTCTATTGTCCAGTTTTGGTGAGCCTGTGTGACTTGTAGCCTCAGTTTCCTGTTGTTAGCTGACAGGAGTGGCACCCGGTGTGGTCTCTGCTGCTGTAGCCCGTCTGCTTCAAGGTTCCACGTGTTGTGCGTTCAGAGATGGTGTTCTGCATACCTTGGTTGTAACGAGTGGTTATTTGAGTTACTGTTGCCTTTCTATCATCTTCAACCACTCTGCCCATTCTCCTCTGACCTCTGACATCAACAAGGCATTTTCTTCCACACAACTGCCGCTCACTGGATATTTTCTCTTTTTTGGACCGTTCTCTGTAAACCCTAGAGATGGTTGTGCGTGAAAATCCCAGTAGATCAGCAGTTTTTTGAAATACTGAAGACCAGCCCGTCTGACACCAACAACCATGCCACGTTCAAAGTCACTTAAATCCCCGTTCTTCCCCATTCTGATGCTCGCTTTGAACTTCAGCAAGTCGTCTTCACCACGTCTAGATGCCTAAAGGCATTGAGTTGCTGCCATGTGATTGGCTGATTAGCTATTTGTGTTAGCAAGCAATTGAACAGGTGTGCCTAATAAAGTGGCCGGTGAGTGTATAATAATAAATATAAAGTTGAGCGTGTTAACATGGAGGTCTATGGGGATTGACTCCCCTTTGCAGTCAAGTGGCCATTAAAAGGAACTGCAGCAGGAGGTTGTGATCTTATCACTTTAACGTGGAAAAAAAGACAGTTTAAACCTCTTCAATCTAACCACTGAGTAGACTGCAGAGGGCCCAAGGAGAAACAGACCCACTCAATATTTAGAGCCCAGTTCAGTAAAGATGGAGGATCACTGAAGACTGCATCCAAGTTCAACAGTATTCTCTCCCGTCATGTAACACTGAGGGGACGTCAGCTAAATAAAACAAAATGTAAATAAAACATTTGGTGTCTAAATGATTCTATTTCTATCCATGCAAAGAAGAAAAACATCAATATAAAATCTGATTACAAACTTTTGAATGGCAGTGTATATTTATGTTTATTTTATATATTCTGACAAAGTAAACTACAACTTGTAATCGGACTAAAATACCATTGTATTTACCCAGAGTGAAATACTTCACGTAATTCATCAAAAAAGGCCACCTTGCACATTAAGAGAAACTTATGATATGGCAAACAGCACAACATGCTAATGCTAGCTAATATCACAATGGCAGGTTCTTTGTGGCAGGTGGTGTTACACTACTAGGTACGTTTATGTGCCTCAACAAGGCAATACATAGAGGTGTACAGGAGACAAGATATAAAAGAAGCCCATATCAAAAGACGAGTAGGATTTTAAAAAGAGCAAATAGAATAAGACATTAAACAGTAGAGTAAAAATGACATTAAGTAGTGGTCAATAGACATGACATGAAGAAATGTAAACACCGACCATGTTTACATGCACACTAATATCCCACTATTATTCTGAACATGACAGAAGTCTGAATTTGATACGGGTCATGTTTGTAAACAACATATTCCGTTTGGCTATCCTGCATCAGGTCTTACTCTCAATGTTGCATTTTCCAATTAAGACGTGTGTGATATGCAGATATTATTCAGGTTTTAGGAGGATTCTTTGTACATTCACAATATGCGTCTCACATTTGGGTTTTACGGCAGTTCGCGACACACGTCCTCTTGCCTGTTTACGGCCAGCTCTGTGCGGTGAACACAAACCAACAGGCCAATGGTTTACAAGGCTGGGCAGAGAGGCATGTCCAAAATAAAAGCTCACATTTCTGTTTGGACAAAGAAACACACTTTTCTTTAAAGGCAGGGTTGGTAGCAGTAGCTCCAAAGGTTGCTAAATTTAGCGAGAAAGTTGGAGCGTTCGCTGACTCCGATATTGTATGACACTCGTACAAGCTTACTGATTAAAATAAGTAAGATGTGAAGACGAAAATGCTCTTGCATGTGTCCTGTGTGTATTTTACAGAATAAGGGCATAACACTGAATATATTGTGCATGTAAACGTATATATAACTGAGGTAAAACTCATTTTTAGAACAATCAGATTCACCCGATACAGGTACTGTAAATCATTTTGTAAACAGACATTTAGTGGCATCAGGTTAAAGCATAGCAGGAGCATCAGGTCTCCTCCTGCTGGATGTGTAATCTTCTGTAAAGTAAACTTCCAAAACGTAAACCCTCTATTCGTGCTAACTTTGTAAACCCGCGACTTGGAAAACTTAAGCTGACTGGACGTTTTTTTTGGTGGCGTGTCTCAGATGTTGGTGAGCACCGTGCTGGTCACTATAGCGACAGTGAGGGTCCCCGGCAGGTCGTTGTCACGGCGATCGCCCTTGGCCCTCAGGTGGAGCGTCTGCTGGAACTCGCCCTGCTCGGCCGGCACCGTCACCTGACCCAGGAAGGAGTCCTTCAACACGTTGTGGTTGTAGATCTGAGAGGCACAGAGAGAGAGAGTCACTGCTTGAATGAGACCACAGAATGCATGTTCATAAGTTCAGTGGTGGAATGTTATATTTGTCTGCAGATTCAGATTATTAATACAAAATATAATCAACTTATAAATGATGATTTATCGTTATAGATTAAATTACGTTAAGTAGCTCCACCTTTACAATCTGCAACATAAAAGGAATGAACACATGATATTTATATTATTCTGAAATGAGACATTCTGCATGAGCAGGCTGCATTATACTGTTGGTATCCCGTGTTCTGTGGGGTTAGACTACTGTTAGTCTAGTGACTAGATTAACTGTAGGTAACACACTGACTGTAGATCAGTAACTCATACAAACACACTTCAAACACTCTGAACTATCCCTTTAAGTACAACAGCAGAACAATTTGTCCACCACTGCCCAATTTTCTCTCAGCCTTACCTGGCTACCAACACAAACACAAACACAAACACACACACACACACACACACACACACACACAGAGAAACACAAACCTTGATTCTGATTGGCTGGTTGGCTTTCTTCCTGTAGAACAGCCCCTTGGTGTCAAAGTTGGGGCTGCGTGTGTTTTTATGGACTGGTGAGCGAACCTTCTCTCCTTCACAATGAATTATCACGTAGGGGTCCGACACTGGAGAGAGACACACACACACACGTCTGTCAGTTTCATAAACCTGATCAATCGATGTGTGATATAAGATTACGAAATGATGTTTGATGAATTTTGTTTTCATTATCAGCTTCTAAGCTACAAGAGCGAAACACATCTCTGTTGTGTCTGAGCTTCATGCTTCTCGTGAACACACTGTAGTTAGCAGAGTCTACTGATAGGACTGTAAACGTGAGATGTGGATAGATTCAGGCACAGCTGCAGTTTCATTTACTAAGTATTGTACTTTTGAGGTACTTGTACTTTACATCTTTTATTTCTATCTTATGCTACTTTATACTTCTACTCCTCTACATATTAGTGGGAAATATTGTATTTTAAACTCCACTACATTTATTTGACAACTTAGCTACTAGTAACCTACTAATAAATATTGATATGTTATTGTGGATTAAGCTCCCCACCAGCAGTATATAAAGTAGTTATAATCATCACCACCTTTACCAGCTGTAACATTAAAATGATGAACTCATTAATGCATCATTTATTCATCATAATCCAGTAATATAATATACATCTTTGTGAAATGGGTCATTCTGTATAATGAGTACTTTAATTATACTTTGATTAAGGTACCAAGTATTTTCAATAAATGCAAACACAGCGCAAAGTATTCATCTATTGTGAGCACCTTGTGGCTGTCTGCTGTCGAGACTGTTTTACATTCACACTGGTGTAACTTTCTGCTGTGCTGCGTTACCAAGAATCGACTGGCCAAAAACAACATCGTGCTGGAGCTGCTTCAGCTGACAGCACGTCAGTTTAAAAAAAGCGAATATGATATAATATAATGTAATACAAATAAATACATTTAAAATATTATATTTATATATTTATAATTTATGTATTTATTTTGTAAACAAAATAAAATAAAATGAAAACTGTTTTGTAGAGCTTATAAATATAATTTGATCGGTAATCTGTGGATGGATCAAATATCCTGTAAAGTGTCTCATTGTTAACTAAAATGTACCTCCATCAGAGTCTTGTCCTGCAAGTCCATTCGCATTCAGTATGTGGACCTGCGTGACCAGAGAGGGATAACCACACATCCCAGACCAGCAGGTCTGTGGAGGCACATGTAGAGTCAACTCTCTGCAGGACAGACAGAGAGACAGAGAGACAGAGAGAGAGAGAGAGAGAGAGAGAGAGTGAGACGGGGAAAGAGATTACTGTATTAGTTCTTATCTAGAACCGTATGTTTATGTTGTTGTTGAAAAAGGGCTGCTGCTCTGTCATCAGCATAGCTTCAAGCTTTAAAATAAAACCAGCTGGATCCTCAGGTGTAAACTGCACCTGGGGTTTAGTCCGAACCAATTTCTGTGTCTTGAAAAAGTCTCTGAAATGCAGCTCGAGTTGATTGTAACTGATGAATACTTGAACCTGCTGCAGACCTGGAGCCATATTCACAAAACATCCTAAGACTGAAATGATCTCCTGATTATGAGAGAAGTGAGAGGCAGACCAGAGGACTCCTGAGTCACTGAGTGCTGCTCTCAGTCAGTAACGTGCTGCAGCTCCTTCAGCTCAAACTAAAACGAGTCCCCACTCACTTGCAGTCAGACGGCACGTCGGTGAAGGTGCGGAGCAGGAAGTCTCCCTCCAGGCCAGGGTCAAAGGTGGTGGGTATGATGACGTACCGCCCCTCAGGCAGCTCGATGCGTCTGAACACAGACCTGGAGTTGATGTAGGTGCTCCCGCCCACCTTCTGCTGGGTGACGTGCATACGGTAGGTCCTGTTGAACTCCACCTGAACACAGAGAGCCCACAGACCTTAATAGATGAAGACTACAACAGTATCTATATAATGTATTGAAACTGGCAGGGGAGAGTCCATGAAGCGACCTGGGGTGACCCCAGTATGCTAAACTATGATTGGTTATCTGCATGATCAAAGGCGGGACCTGAGCTTGAACCAACTGTTTGACAAGTATACTGGATTCAATTATTGGTGCAACTCAGACTTTAACGACTAATTCTACCCCAAAATGACCATTTGCATATTAAATGCTGTTGTTACAGAAGACAACTTGCCTCCCCGGTGAATGAAGAATCAAAAACTGAGAAAAGTCTTGAATAGAAGTAAATGGGGGACGCGTTGAACAACAGCAAAACTATATCAAAACATTTGTCTCCAAACTCTCTCACACAACTCGTGCAGTTTTACCCAAGTCTCATTCATCCAGTCAACTTCTCACAGAACTTCGCCTGAATTTATGAGCATTTTGTGGGTTTTTGTTTGGAAGCCTCTGGGTGTCTCCCATGCTGCAGTACCACTCTCTGCCTGAACCGTTACTGTGCGCAGGCAGGGGGTGCTGTTTGACCAAAACACACATGTCACTAAAACCAATGAAAGTGAGAACAATTCACGCGACACGGGCCATGCTAATCTCCTCTAAGAGTAACACGTTGTAACGCTTTCACAAGCCACTGTCCCGTCAGAGTGAATGTGATACGTTTGGTTTGTTGTCTATTTAGTCCGGTTCATTTTGACGATGCACAAACTAAAGCTGACCAAATGAAACATCTATTTGCTGAGATGACTCTGCACAGATCTACTGTACGCACAAATTCACTTCTCTTCCAGTTTATCTTGAGTGACTTTATAAACATACGTATTTTTGGGAACTTTACTTTACTTTAGCATATTCGTCTCAGATGTCAAGCAAACATCGGACGTCTGCAGCGGTCCAACTCAGTCCTCTCTCATGTCCATCCTCAACAAAATGTTCCACGCTGGGAGCCTGGGTTTTGTAATTATGTCGAAATATGTTCTCGCTGCAATCAAACTGCACTATAGTTTGATTGTCCACACCAGAGTGCAATTACTGTGTTCACCATTGCCCAAACAAACCTCACCTGATTAAAACCGACTAAATGCTAGCTGCCCCCGTGCATCTTCTTATCTTTTTTATTAAAATTCTAAACACAAGAATGTACGAAACTGTTATTTTTATTTTGTGCTGTATTATATACTTCCCAGTTTATTCTATAGACTTATTTACAACTAATGTAATCTTATAAGGCTACAACAGTCCTGCAATACATGTTCCGGTTACTCTGAGAGATTTTGAGATGACATCTGTGAATGTCCTGAAAACACACACAAACACAAACACACACACACGGCGAGCTGACCCTGTGTATCTCGAAGCCAATAGCCAGGTTTTCTCCTCGTCCCTCTCTCAGCGTGGCTCTGCGGTCTTTCTGCTGCAGACAGATCAGAATCTCGTCCTCCGGCTTCTTCACGTCAAACACATACTGCAACACAGAAGAAAAAGAAATACACGCATATCGTTACAGGTCCAGCCCTTCAGAGTGGTCACTATCGCAAAGCAACGCCAAATCTGAGAAGGCGTGATTCAATGAGAGACAGCCACACCTGCGGGTTCTGGAGGAAGGAGTGCTTGTTGTTGGTGCAGCCCCCGGCTCGGTTGAGAAGCGGGTCGCTGTGGCTCTTCCAGGAGCCCTGCATCACGGCCTCCTCCCAGGTCTTGTGGAAGCTCAGGTAGGATGTGTTGATGAGGCGACACAGGATGATGTCTGTGAAGTTGGCGATGAAGTCATCAAACGTCATCCTGCAGGAGGGGAGAGAAAGAGGGAGGGATCAGCAGCTACTCTGGTTTGAAGAAATAAGTGTAAATTCAGTAGAAATCAGTTCAATGATTTGTTAGATCAACAAATCAACCCTTGAGAGATGGAGACTGAACTAATGTCAATATTACAGATGACAGTGATTATAGTAAGTCTATGGCCCAATCCCAATGTCCCCCCTAAGGCCCTAAACCCTCAAGGACTTACTGATGTCACCTGTTAAATGGTTGAGTGTGAGGGACTGTGAGGGTTTGAACACAAAAAAAATATGATGTACAATTGTGGGTATTTATTTTATATTTTTTACTCCCCGATTTAAAAGTCTTCCAGGCTCTTTCCTCACAAGATCAGAGGTAATTTCGGACAATCTTTTTACTTGTTTTCGTCAAAACAGCTGAAAAATGTGATGAATAAATCTGTGTAACATAATCTCCGCTTTCGTGTGTTTTTATGTTCCATCTTTAATCCTTTCTGAGTAAATGTAATTTGCCAGGCTAAACTCCCATGTGCCGTCCTCTTTGTTTACCTTTTTTACATCTTCCACTGGTAACTCTGTGTTTAAAGTCACATTGCTATGAATTGTGGGTAATTCCCCTGAGCAAAGTCTGCAGAAATGCTGACTTATAGAAAGTGTTCATAAAGGGCTCACAATGTCTGTGAGAGAGCCCTCAAACCCTCAATGAGTGGACAGTGGGACAGCCCTAAACCGTCAGACTTTACAGGAATGCGCCTCAAAGTCTGTGTGTGGAGATTAGGCCACTGACTTTTGGGTTAGTCAAACTCCAGGCTCCTTGTGTCTGCCAACAGGGGGCAGTGTTGAACTAAAACTCACCAGAACTCTCCATCATCCTGCACAGTGACACCGATCTTCTCCCTCTCACTCTTACTGACCTTCTTCCACTCTTCAGAGCTGCAAACAGGCAGAAAAAAGGTCTGTATTCTTGTTGTAATGGCAGCTGTGAAATGTTAACTTCAACGTATAAGTAAGAGACAGACATAGTTTGTAGTACAATCATCTGGGACCAGACATGTTCGAATCATAAGTGCTCTGGATAGATTTCAAACATGTCAAAGTATTTATTCCCACAAGGTTTACAATCTGTGTAGAAAACACGGTCTCACCTGTCGCTCCAGGCCCCGTTCCACTCTCTCTCTCCCCAGGGGTTTCTCATGCGGATCATGGTGAGTTTGTCCGACCGGAAGTAGGCCAGCAGGCCGTGGCCCAGCCGCACCCTGCGGACGTCCGTCACCGCGTAGGCATGGCCCTTCACCAGGCCGCAGGACAGCCTGGCCTCCATGTCGGCCGCAGTGGTCGCCTGAAAGGACACGGCGCCGGATTCGGTCATTGCGTAAAATCATTCTTAAATCAAGCCATTCAATCATTCAGCCGCCACATGTTTGCCCCTCTCCTCACCCGGATGGAGCAGCTGATGAGGCCCTCTCTGTCGTGGACCTTCAGGACTCTCTCGAACAGCTCGTTGCGTTTCTCTTCGTCGTCTTTGAAGCCGTTCTCCATCAAGTCCATCGGCTCCGTCACGCCGCCGGTGAAATCCACGAGAGCGTCGGCCGTGTTGCCCCCATCGAGCGCCTCATAGCAGCCGCACATCCTATAAAACACATCATTAAAGCTTACACACAGCTTACTTATTATCAAATCTGTGCTGGGCATTGAGCGGCCGGTTATGCATTTTGGTGTTTGTTTTTTTGATAACGCTACATACAGACTTATAATGTACAACAATCTGCTTTACAAAAGTAACCTTGATAGGCAAAGATATGCAGCCAATTTTAGTGGTTTTATAAAATAATATCATATTTTATAAAAACATTGTATTCATTTTCCCACAGACAATGTTACAAACTGTGTCTCTTCTATAAAAAGCTAAAAGTACAGGCCTGAGGACATAAAGACCTTGGAGGAGAGGGTAACGACGACTCTCAAGATGCATTTCGGTAACAAACAAACAAACTAATCAGAGAACTTAAAAGTCTTTGACGCCGACGGTGGGCGGAAGCTTAAATTGATACAATTGAGAAAAGTGATCACAATCTGCAGCTTAAATCAATTTGGGATTCCGGGTTCATTTTAGATTAATGCAGGAAACATGGCGCCATCAAAAAAACTGATTAAAACAACATGGTTGCTATAGTACAGTTTATTATTTACCACTGTTGTATCAGTCTACTACCACAGTATTACATTTAATATCTTATTTTTAACATATTCTCCTTGATTCCTGTATTGTAACTTTATACATTTTGTAGTGGCGTTGTTGGAGAACAAGGACTTCCTCGCCATTGGCTGCTCCACTGTAACTGATGGCGAATAAAACACACACGGTGGAAGTCTTACTTCACGTAGGCCTTCTCCACCAGCGCGCTCCAGAACTCGTTGCTGTCGTTGGAGTGGCAGTACACCAGCTCTCCGTTCGCCGTGGGCAGCCGGTCGTCGATCACCACGTCCACCCACTCACCGAACCGCCAGAACCGGAAGTGGAAGATCCCGGCGTAGGACTCCGGTTTTTCGTCATCCCACTCCTGGTCCTTCCAGTCAGGGATCACCTGGGGAAAACAGAACAACCAGACAATCATCATCTGGTCAAAGCTCAGGTTTTATTTCAAAATGTGAATCTAAAGGACTTAAGTAGAAAGTGAAGGCGTGTTAATGAGGTCTTTGTTTCACTACATACGATAAGAGTCAGTACACTAACACGCAGACGCACATGCGCTAAATCCCAGGTTCTGGTGGTGATTTTCCCAGAAAACAGACGTACATTTGGCTGATTATTCCTGTAAAATTCCATGATCTCAATTCCAAGTATGAGAGGCAGGAAACTCTCACATAATCGGTGAGCCCTGTCGTGATCTGTGACATCTTGAGAGTGATCATCAATGGGTATGAATAATAAATGTTCATTTCCTCTTCATTAGTGTGATACTGTTCACATTCAGAAGCTCAACACTCAGAAAAGAGGAAGTCTATTATGAGAATAACTAGAATAATTGGTACATTTATTTTTTATCTTAATTTCATAATTTATAAAAAAACATTTATAAAAAACATATCCTGTCAACAAAAGTTAAAGTTAGGCAATCATTTCTATTTCTTTTAAATTTAAGATTTTGAAGTTTTATATTCCTCTATGGGGGTGAGAACTAATAGAACTCGTGTGAAATACTTTTCTTCCTTATCTAATTTAGTTTTTCTGTTTTTTTAACCAGCTAAAACATACATAACAGTGAGCATAGATAAATAAATAGGCAACAGAATCAGGCAAATGCAACGGTTGCACATTATAAAAGGGTACAAATAATATCCAGTCAACACACACACACACACACACACACACACACACACACACACACACACACACACACACACACGAGTCACCCAAATAAGAAGCAAAAGCATCGACCAACAGCCTGAAGCTTCATTCCAGATTTTTCAAAACTGACTTTAAGTTACAATTTCCAAGCTCTCCGTTTCGTTCTGTATGGCGATAAGCTGCCATACACCTGCTAGTACCACTGTAATAATGCAAACCCCAGGGCTTTCATCAGAGGGCCAGAGGCTCAATCACCATTGTGTTCCCTCATTCAGTGTTAGATAGTGACCTAACAATATTCATTTAAATTAAAATCTTCCAGATCATTACTAAAGTAACAATCACCTCTGACAAAAACATCTGTACATATTCTGTCCACTTGTTAGTTCCTAAAAAGTTGAAAACCATCTGCCTCTCCACTCGTTTCCCGTTAATTAACATGAGGATGTACACCGTTTTTAACAAGGGAATGCCATCCACCCATATCCTGAGCCAAGATCCCCACTGACGACACACACACACACACACACACCTCAGTGAAACGAGTGATATAAATAAGTGCTCCATTGAGCCGACACTAGTGCAGCTCCCAGAAGCCCTTGGGAAACTCCCAGTTACCTCTCATACGTCACCAGCGCCTCATGTTGCCTAGCACCCTCACACATCACCCACCTCTGTAGCACCTTCAAAAAAACTATAACTAAAAAACTGAGAGTATTTTAATTTGATATTCAGACATTTCAAACCCAATCAACATAAAATAATTCAGACAAATGCTGCTCAAAAAATGTTTTCCTCCATGATAGTGCAAGTGCTCGTATTAAAGTTGCATATTATAAACACATAAATAAATGAGTATATTATATTTGTGGACAGTTTGGTGCAGAAATATCAGCCTTTAAAGGACTGAAAGCTTATTCCGACTGATGCTGTTTTGGCATTGATCCCCTCCACCAATGCACTCCCTTACCCTCTCTCACGTTATGTGGCTAATCAATGCATCCTAACCAATTCACCCTGTGGGAAGGAGGGCGGTTGGGGGGAGAGGGGGGGAGGACAAAAGTGAGGAAACTGCCACTCTGTGATGGAAACAGTTGGGGAGGGGAGGGGAGACAAAGAAGGCGTGCGACGAGCCTACGAGGGAAGGAGAGCGAGAGTGAAATCTGAAACTCTGAGCAGAGCTCCGTCATCACAGCATCCATCCAGACATAGCCGGACCTGCCCGCTGCCTTAACCCCAGGATCCTAACCTCCAGGTCGGACATGGACAACGCCAGAGCCCCCTCCAACACGCTGGTGCTGGAGTTCAAAGAAGACCCCACACTGACAGAGGTTTGGTTCTCACACATCTGTTGTCACAATGTGTGTGTTTGTTTTTTTTACTTGATAGAAAAAAATAATTGAATGAATGAAGTTTAAAACTGATGTGATGGGGTTTGTGCCCATTTGTCACCAACAAATGTCAACATGGCAGTTTTGAATGCTGATGATATGGTGAACGTAGATATCTTTAAGAAAAGTTTGTAAGAAAACGTTTGTTAAATTTAGCGTATTGCTATTCTTTTTGTTGTTGGCCGACTTTTCAAAGTTCACTTTTTTGGAGATTCGCGCTACTTTTCCATTCAAACTTTGCTCCGTGCTTTAATGAACAGCCTTCATAACATCTGATCTTGAATCTGCTGTTTTCTGTATTGTGCCTGGTGCTTTGAATGTTAGTGATCAATGGCTCTACTCATCAGAAGAGTTAAAACATTGACGCTGTGCTTCAATAACTATTTGAACCGAGCGTCACAGTGGAGGTCAACAGCTCCTGGGCTCACATGCTAATGAGGATCTCTCGCTGTGCTGAGAGAAAAGAGCTTTTAGAGCAACGATCAGTTGACTAATAGATCAGTGTGTCAGAAAGAAAGCTCATCAGCAATTCTTTTTGACAATTGATTAATCGGTCAAGTCATTTTCAGGCACAAATGCTAAAAAAGTCGCTGGTTCCAGCTTTTCATATGTGAGGATGTTTCTGATAAGCTGCCCTGATGCATTTAATCACATCACATTGTACATTCTGTTTATGCAGAAGTTCATTTTAGCAGAACACTGGATGAACAGCCCATTTTATTTTAATTCTGAATCAGAAGAGGCTTAAATGTGACTATTAAACGTGACTGCTACTCACAAATAAAAAGCAAACCCCCTCCCTGTTTGGGTACAGTTGTTTTTCACAAAACAGCGAAGCGTAGCCGAGTACACATGAACCCTACTCGAGACCACCTTTTCAAGTGGAGCCGGTCACGGACCGACAAACCGTGCCCGGGGTACGGTACACCATGTTCACCCTGATCAAACCAACTGGACTTTGGGGTCAAGTGGACTCGGATCCGGGTCGGGCCCCCGATGTGAAGGCCTCCGAAATGTCAGATTGACTGAGTGTGCCTGAACTGAACTCTCTGGGAAGACCTGGTAGAGGTGCTTCAGTTTCAGTCTCACAGAGCTTCTAAAACATGTTTCTCAGTTTGTCATTATAATGTAACCTCTGTATATTCTAAGACTAGACAGATCTCCATTTAACTTCAGTGTTTAGGGAATTTATTTGTTTTTGGTCTGTAGGTTGTTTCGTCTACAACCAAAGAATAAAAGGCAGTGTGGTGGACGATTGAATCTGACATCTCTCACACACACACACACACACCTTCATCTCTCTTCCTCTCCAACCCATTTCATCTCTCTCTCCCTGCCTGTTCCTCCACTTCCTCTACAGATGATGCGTCTGCGTGTGTCGTCGCTGCAGCGCTCGGGTCAGAAGCGTCAGGACGGCGAGCGTCTGCTTCTCCCCCACGAGGCCGTGTACCGTCTGGACTTCCCCACCCAGGAGCTCAACTTCTCCCGCTGGTACTTCTCCCTCGCCGCCCACGGCCGCGTCACCATCACCGGCATCTCCCAAAACTGGACCCCCGACCTCACCCACCTGATGACCCGTCAGCTACTGGAACCAATTGGCACGTTCTGGCGAAACGCCGAGGACCCGGAGGACTCCCCGCTCAAGTGGCTGGAGGCGGACATGCAGGAGTTCGGCGAGAGGATCGCCGAGCTGGCCAAGGTCAGGAAGGTCATGTACTTCCTGTTTGCTTTCAAGGATGCCGCGGAGGCCGCGAATCTCAGCTGCTCGGTGGAGTTCACACTAGACAAATGACGCTTCACTGTTTGTCAGTAGAATCCTTTTAGCGCTGGAGAAGCATCGCAATATTTTTGTTCAATCTTTGACCTTTCGAAAAACATACAACTAGAGCTGAAATAAAACCTTTGGATCTCCTCAAATTAAAGAAAATAAATTTTCATATTTTCCCCCAAAACGTCCTTCTCATCTCTCAGTCTCACTGATTAAAGTGTAGTTCCACCCTCTTTCTGCACGACTTTTTTCATTTCGCTACTGTCCATTCTATAACTTGTAACGGCATCTCAACAGCCAACATTTTATACAACCACTTAACGAGCCTTAAAGAAAGTATTTTTCACACATATTTATTTATGTGTTCTTTAGAGATATTTATTTACTACTATTTTATTCAAATGGAACTAATCCTGTTGTATGTTTCATGGTGCTACTTAAACCTCATCAATTAAAAACAATGAACTGAAAAAAGATGTTTTAATTCATACAGAAATGTGAGCATGCATGAAGAAAATGTTAACAAAATATTATGGGGTGAGGCTTAACCGTCATAATCAGTAACTACAATTTTAGAATGTTTATAACTCAAAACCTTTAAATAGAAAAGGTTAGGGCCAATCCCATTTCATATTGTTTGCGTCATGGAAATCATTTTGAATGTGCAACCCAGCCTTAAAACAATGTTGTCACGTTAGCGTTGGCTCGCTAGAGACGTCGGCACACCGGCCAATTTCTGGCGTTTTTTTTGCTCGTTATAAAGAAACATTGAAACGACATGAGACTAAGATAATACAATGTTATCATCATTTTTAAAACCTTTATTAACAAAGACAAATCCCAACACTCACTTTGGAGTGTGCCTCTTTGGAGGGCCATGTAGCCAAAGAGCTGGGATTGGGGCCTTATTAGGCTACAAACTGAACTTCCTCTTGTAAATAAAAGACGCCTTGGCTGACCAGCTGAATGTTGTGATATGTGTTTGAGTTGTTAGCCGTCTTTGTTGTTGTATTTTGTTTGTCTGAAGTCCTCCATCGCTCGCCGGAGAGCCAGCCACAGTAGCAGCAGAACAAAGTGGCAGCGAACGGAATATCACACATTCACTCCGCATGCCCGTCGGCCTGACACCAAACACAGATCAATGGAGGGACATCGATTAAAGATCGACTGAAAGCTGTCTGTGTGCTCTCATTGGTGCTGGTTGTTGATGGTGTTGCTGGACAGAGGGAAGGCGGTATGGGACAAGAGGAGACTAGGAAGGGAGGAAACAAGGAGGAGCGGTTTATAAATTAAGTTGACGATTCGACCCTCAATTCTGGGTGAGAGGATGAATTTGCAGTTATTTTTAAAGGAACATGTGCATATTTGGATTACCATCCTCTTATCACTTGCTTTTCAGTAAACACAGCCACTCTGGCAGTTATCACGAGCATGAGAAGATAAAAGAGTGAAAATAAGATGAGAAACCGGAACACATACAGTCTGTACTGCTGCGTTGAGGTTGTCGTTTACATTTTGTATTCTTCTTCTTCTTCTTCTGTTTGTCATTACAATATTACACTATTGAAAACGAATTGTCTGACACATAAATCAAATGTCATCGCATTGCTTTTTGTTTGTCAGGGCGAGCGTTAGCAGCGATGAGGCGGTTACCTCTCGCTGCCTTTAACAGCAGCAGACGCTAAACAGCCCAGTGAGGACCAAGGCAGACGTCTCTGAGAAGAGACAGGACATGAACACAGCCCCAAATCAAACAATGCTGGCAATGGTTGATAGGAGCATTCCTGTGTAACAACAGGCTCGTCATGAGACAACAGCGAGAGGAACTACTGAAGAGTTGGTCTCCCTGTGTTTCAGCTGGACAGGGCTGAAGGGAACCAGCAGGGAGCATTCCAGGATGCTGTGTTTACAGCTACAGCACCTGCTCATAAATTACAAAAGCTCCTATCTTGATTCCAGTCAAACTTTCCACCTTACTGGAGCAAGATGCTGGCAGCAACACGGGTTTTACACTGAGTGAGAGAGACAGAGCGGCTTCAATACGGACAGAAACACGACAGGAGTAGGGAAAACTTTATAGGTTCATTAGAATATAATCCCAATAATTTATTCAGGATTTGCCAATGAAAGCCTGAGATGAGCAAGTAAGTGAGGATTGAGTTAAAATTTGTATTTTTGGTCAAATTGCTTTTAGGGTGCAGGAACAGCATGAGATGAAATATAAGTGAGGGGCTATATATTAATAGTCTCTGCATGAGTTAAAACCCACAATGAATGCACAGTTTTGCGCTCGTCAAATAAAATAGAGCCGGTTGGAACACTTCTTATTTTCAGTAAGACAAAGAGCACGATGCATGATTTAATGCATCACTCTCCACTTTAATAACATTGCTGAATAAGTAATAAAAATAAGTATTACTCGATAATGGAAGAAACTAAAATTCTTCATATCTTAAAGAAACACACGCCACGCTCTGTATGTGAATCAACACGTCTTTTAACCAACGCTGCCTTTTGAACCATGAACCCACGTTGTCCGACAGGACGACGACTTCCGGGTCTCTTTGCCGTGGAAGTGTCGTCATAATTGTCGTCAAACTGCCCGTGTAGTTGTCCTCAATCACACCAGAGGCTTAGTGAGTGTTTGGAAGCGGGTGTCAAGACAACTGGCTGCTCCGCCGAGGCAGCGGCGCCTGAAACGGGCTTTAGTTTCCCTTCAGCTGATGGAAAAGTGAGCTGCTGAGGACCTCCGAGACCAGACAGGAGGAGCGAGCTAACCAAGAGTGGAAAGAACACACACACACACACACACACACACACACACACACACACACACACACACCTCCAATAATTCAGTCTCATCATGTTTGTAATCTAATTGTTTAAAAGGCCAAACAAACGTGTTCTGCTCATGTGCTTTTGAGCAAGGCACTGAACCCATTATAGATCCTGTGTGTTGCGTTAGAAGTGTGTTGTCAGGCATTTATTTAGTCTCAGGTTAAACTCTGACAGATGAGCGGTCTTTAAGCTTGACTACATAGAGCGACTCATGCAGCAGGGGTCTGAGGGATAGACGGGCTCCAGTGCTCGCTCAGCTCGTCTGTCTCCGGCCGAACTAATCACCGTGTATCTATTTTACCGCCATAAAATGAAAACCATGACAGAGATGGGTTTTATCTTTTTGAGGAGATGTATTGCCCAACTGCAGCTAGTATAATAATAATAATAATAATAATAATATTATTAATATTAATAATCAATCCTGTTTTTGAAACATTGTTGTTCATGAACATAAATCACAAGCCACAGTGGGGCTTATATAGACTATGAAGCCTGCAGGGCTATTTCTATTTTCTATTTAAAGTGAACTTTAATATTTTACTGCACTATAATAATTACAAAACAAAACGCCGCATTCAAAAACAGATTTTAACATTGATTACCATAGCAACGGTCGAAGCCTTGAGTCAGTCATGTAGTAGCAGGATGTACACACTGACGTACATACGTACACAAATAATCACGCGTGTCTTGTCCCCGACGACTGGTTCTATCCCCATTGTGTGCGTGTGAGAGTGTGTGTGTGTGTGTGTGTGTGTGTGTGTGAGAGAAAGGGCGGTAATATAAAATCCACATGGATTACACAAAGTGCGACAGTACACACGCATCTTAAGTGAACACACCAATCCACACAAATCCAACACCCACATACTTGCACATACACATTCCCACACCCATCCACATCCACACACACACACACACGCACACACACAGTGTGTGCATGCATCCCGCTCCACCGGCTGTGGCTCAGGCATTTGAACAGAAGTCTCTCACTAACTGTGCTGCACTGAGCAATGCCATGAAATATTATCAGATCCATTCGGATGCTGCATTTTTGGAGCTAGTTGTTGTATTTTGTTGTTTGTTTTTTTACAATGTTATGTGACTTTGTGTGTGTTCACGATCTGACATTGTTATGTAAATATATTGCGTGTTGTTTGAACCCCTTTCAGTACCATGGATAGCGCCTCTCGGCCAAGCGTGCCAAAACCCTTATTTATGTTTATCTATAATCACAAGCAGCAAACAAATAAATAATAAAACAGGGACACGGTCTCTGTGTCTGAGTCTCACCTTCTGCCATAGTGTCTCTCTGGAGGCCAGACTGGAGCAGGCAGCTACGAACCAGCAGTTTCCCAGCTGGCCCTGGTGCAGGTCGTGGGCACTGATGCCGTCCACAAACAGGTGGGGGTTGCTGCATAACTCCTAGAAGGACAAACATGATTGCAATCAGTGTTACCCCTTTCTTCTTCTTTCAAATAAATAATGTTACTTTATTCCCCCTGACTTATCAACATTGCAAAAGGAGGAGAGTGAAAGTCCTTTAGATGTATTGAAGTGTCCATTGAATGGTTTTGCCAACGTAGATCAAAATAACAGTCCTAGGTTACAAAGACTCCAACAAACGCTCAACACGTCGGGTTCATTTTGAATATCAGTGGAAAAACTATTATTTTAAAGGAATTACCATCTTAGAGACGTGAGTAAACGTAGTAGATTAAGGCTAAGCGGGGTTCTAATTATCTACCATTCTTTTTAAGCCAATCACAATCGTCTTGGGCGGGGCTAAATCCAGGATGCAGCAGTGGCCAATGATAGATTTATACCCACAGTGTACATCTGCTGTGTCAGACTATTGGTCAACCTACAGCTACTGCACGGAAGAGAACCGACACTTGAACGATGTGGTCATCTGCTGGGCAGCTGCCAGCTATGTACCAATGTGACGCAGGGCGTTAGCCGGAGCACCCAGCCAACCGTAAAGGTAAAGGTAAATACAGGGTAACAAACACACCCTCAGATTACATAGAAATAACTTCTGAACGTTCAAAGCTAAACAAACCACAAAGTGTATGGGAGGCTATCAGGACAAGCAGCCAAATGAAGGCGTGGAGATGAACCACAAAGAGCACTAACCATGTGGACACAGACGTATACATGGAGCTCTTAACACGTTATATCCTAGCATACGAGGTAGAACGTGTTAATAAACGAGCTGGTGCACATCTGGTTTATCTGTGGACAGAGCCAGGCTAGCCGTTTCCCCCTGCTTCCAGTGTTTGTGCCACTATAAGCTTGATATTTAGCATGCAGGTTTTAGTGGCATCGATCTACTCGTCTCACTTTCTGCTAGCAAGCAAAATAGGCACATGTCCCAAAAGATTCTCTCCAGTAGTTGCCAAGGAGACAATTGTATTTTAAATATATATTTTTAAAGTTTTATCTTGTATGTGCTGTATTTCCTTTTGTAAAGTCACATGACAAACTGTATGTAAAGAATTTCAAGTGCCATAGGCTTAATCAGTAATGAGTGATTATGTTATTGTTGCTGTCTTGTTGTACTTGTAAATATATTTAAGTTAATGTTTCATTATTATGTTTATATTTAACCTTTTTCAACAACTTATGTGCCTTTTTACATTTATTTTAAACCCTTTTTCTCCATGCACAGATGGACATGTTTATATGTCTTATACTCTGTAATTGAACTGAAATTGAGAATCTTTCAAGTAAAGAAAGAAACTGAAATGCTCCTCGCTGCTTTCTCAAATTAGAGGTCATTAAATGTAAGTTCACATACTGTATATGCCCACACACACAATCACACAGTACCATACATGTACTGAATTGTTCAACCACAAAAAAGACGAACACACGCAAAAACACACACACACACACACACACACACACACACACACACACACACA